AATACTATTAGTCAGTGAGAAGTGCAGTAAAAAAGTACAAAATAGAGTATACAGAATTGCACAACGTATAGAAGATACAGTGCAAAACAAACCAGAATGTAAAGTACACAAGAAGATGTATTGAACTTGCTCTTTTGATAAGCTTGTTCAGCCTGTTAGCATCCCCTGCTCTAATCCCAGAGCCCCAGCACCCCACCTCGTAGAAAATGGCACTCGCTACAACCAACTGATAGAACATATGGAGCTTCATACTACACACATTGAAGGACCTGAGCCTCCTCAAGAAGTAAAGTCACCTCTGGCCCTTCACGTACTTCACCTCAGTGCACTTAGTCCATTCCAGTCTATCATCAATGTGAACGCCCAGGTACTTGTACTATCTCCACATGCGAGTCGGTCACTTCCAGAGTGCCACATAGAGCCTCCATAGCCTCCTGACACCATCTCCTTGCAGTCCTCATGGTCACAGGTTGGCGCTGGCACTTGAACAAAAGATTTGCAGCTGAAGTCCCTTTTGTAACCTTTTTGAACAGTGCCATAACATACCTGCCCTTGACTTCCGTTAACACACAGCAGTGTCTCACCCAGTCATAACTTGTACCCCAGTGGTTTAGCAAAGGACATGGAACAGGGATTCACCAGGCCTGTGCCTTACACCTCTCAGCTGGAGAGATCAGAAAGGCATGATCACCTGGAGGACGGCTTCATGTCCAGACAAGAGAAATCACATTATGCAGTTTCCTGTATGCTAATTCACGGGAGGATAGATCTGGGCCTCTGCAGTAAGTAGGATGCTGCTCTGTGGGAAGAGGTGAGGAGGTGAGGAGGGCAGATGGGAAGAAAGCTTGTACCTGTGATGAATAGTACCCACGACAGCGGTCCTCCGTTACCCTGAAAGACCCAAGTGACAGCGATTAATCTTTTCACCTGATTATTTTCTTTTCCGAAACCAGCTGCATCCAAAAAAAGAGAGAGAAAGCAAAGGCAGAGAGAAAAGATCTAGTGGGAAATGAACTTTTAATGAACCTAAGTGGCTGTCTATCTTTCAGATGGGCCTGGCCTGACCAGACGTGTTATTTGTCATGGGGTGGAGGGGTAGTCTTTTGCTGACAGCTGTGCAACTTCCCTCGATTTCCCCAGTCTTGACATTTAAAAACTGAGGGATCAATGAGTCTTGTGTTAAAAAAAATCTCCCGCTCTGCTTCAAACTGCAAAATGCAGAAGTTTCTTTTTAATGCAAAAGGTTAAAAAGAAGCTTTATTTGCTAGGATCTTGAGGGTTTTCTGGGTGCATGTGGCTCTATTACAGTGAATCCCAGCCCCGGATATGACCACTGTGCCTTCTGTTTTCCAGTCTAGTTGAGCTGTTGTCTACTTAATCGAAACCACAATTCAACCGGTAATTTGACTAAACAGAATTTTCTTTCATCGCTTTCTGCTGCCAAATGTTGCAGGTACCTGTATTTATTTGCTTCTGAAATTTAATAGTGTGAATAATTAAATTATACAATAAAACAATAAAAAAGGGCTTATTAATCAAACTGTTAGTTCCGTAAAGGGCTCAATGGGATAATTGAAAGCTCACCTGCAACATTAACTAGCAGGTGATTAGAAACTTACATGTTTGAAAACCTACTCTTAAAGAACATTCAGGTTAAATGTGTCGGAAAACACATTTCTTAAAATGAAAGAGACTTGTTCTTTCCGACCCTAATGGAAATCTCGAATATCAGAAATACCCCTCTTCAAGAGAACTGTTCCCAGTAACGTCAGCACATGGGACTTTATGCAGCTTCTCAACGTGGATATTTCTCATTAAAGGGCTCTTGTTGGTTGATCACTTTGTGCTGAACACAGGTAGGAAGGATGCTGTATCAGACCCCCACAAAGGGTTTCTTCCTTCTGCAGAAATCAAATTGGTTACATTGCAGGCAGATGGCCTGAATGAGGGCAGATCTTAAAATTGGATTCATACCAATTACAAATCCCATCTGACCTTGTGAGAGCTCAAAGCAGGTAACAAATATTCCCCAGATGGAAAACTGAAATCATTTTGCCTTTTATTGTGAACTTATCTGAAGCCACAACCAAAAGACATAGCGTTCCTCCAGCGTTCCTCCAGGACCGTGACTGGAAATCTCTGGTATAGCTAGTGTAGGGAGCCTGTTAGGTAGGCGTGACATTCAGGATGTTAACATTAGATACTAAGTAACAACACCAGGCAAGCCAAATGAATGTGTTTCAGCTGGAAAGGACTTTAAGTCATTCCAGCAATACTGGGAGCATAATTCCAATTCCCAGTCCTACTACCTAAATCTTGTTTTTCTTGGTTTGCAAGATGCAATTTTCATTTGGCAGTGTGAACAACTGGTGTAATTAGCTCTGGGGGATATTCCCTCTGGAAAAGCCAGCAAAGAATGATGAACACATACAGTAGCCATAAAAATCTGATTTGCTGCCTTTATTTTCTCCTGGTCATTTTCTTAGGAAATGTAATCTTAAGATTAGATATTTTTTTATTTTTAAAAGCATGGTAATATACTTTTATGCCATTTCTTTTCAAGCCATTCTTATTTCTGCCAGTTGGAAGTGTTTCT